CCCCCCCCCCGCAGCTGGGGCATGGGAGCCTCAGGCACTGAGCTTGTTAGCAGTGGGGGAGTCACTCCCCCTTCCAGCAACGCTCTCCCCACCAGGGCGCAGAGGGGTGGAAGCCTCAGGGCCCCTCCACCTTCCAGGACCAGGGGAGGTGTGGGAGGCCGAACAGAACTGGGGTGAGGCCGGGGGCGCAGGCAGCATGGCCCTGGGCTGGTGGCCGGTGGGGACGCTGCAGCACCACACACAGTGCCCCCAGGAGCCAGGCTGAGGGAGGACAGCCAGGAGCAGGGACCCCCCCACAGCCGCCGGGCTCTCACCTGCCGTAGGCAAAGCGCCTGTCCTTGTGGTGGTCCCCGAAGGTGTCCCAGAGCCGCAGAGAGACGCTGACTTCGTCCACCACGTCCCGGGAGCGCTCCAGCACCTGCCCAGGGAAAGCACAGTGGGACAGCTCAGGTGGGTCCCCCACCCCCAGCCAGCTTCCCCCTCTACCACAGCCCACCTCAGCTCCCCCCCAGGCTCACGCCTCACCGGGGGCCCTGTGCTGCCCACGGTGCCACCCAGGGGCCATCGGCGAGGGGTCTCGCCCATGGCACGGGCCCATCCCTGCTCTGCTCTCACCTCCTGGCACACGCGGTACTGGTCGATGGCCCAGACGGTCGGCACGTGGGTGGCCAGCAACTGGTACTGGGTGAGGGTGGCATTGCAGGCCCTGGCACAGATGAGGCGTGTCTTGCCCACGGCGTTATCCCCGACAACCACACACTTAATGGTCTCAACATTGGGTCTCTCATAGTCCAGATCAATATCCATCAGGGCACAGCTGGGCGGGAACAGCGGGCAAGGGAGTCATTGCACAGGGTATGGGGCACCAGGAGGGGCATGGCCCAGGCTGGGGGGAGACACGAGCCCCCAGCCAAGACCCTGCTCCCAGGTCAGCGCCCCAGCTGGGGGCTGCCACCAATAGAGTTGGCAGCTGCTGGAAAGGAGCTCGCAGCCCCAGAGCTCCCCGGGGAGCCCGCTGGGACCCAGGCGCTCAGCGCACCACCCTCATCGGGGGATGGGCCGGACTCCCCCCACGCGGCAGGGTGACCCGACACCCCGGTATTAGGGGCTTTGTCCGAGAAAGGGAACTATACCCCCCCCCCGAGAAAAAGTGCCCCGATTTGTCACAATTGCTCGCTGGTCCCCCAAAGCAGCAGGCAAGGAGCCAGCCGGAGCTCCCGGGGGGTATGGCCGGGGGGGAAAGGGGGCTAAGGGGGGGCGCAGCCGGGCGGAGGCGGCTCCGGGGCGGGGGACACGGCACAGCACAGGGGGAGGGGACAGGGGTCCATGCCCGGAGCTCCTGGGGAGGGGACGGGCTTGGGGGGGTCC